GAGAAGGGGTCCCCTAGGCGGGGCTCCTGCCCCAGCACCTGGAGGTGCAGCTCACGCTCTACAAACTCTTTAGGCTTGCATAGTCGCTCCAAGCAATGGTGTGAGTAGCTGCCGGGTGTAGTTCTGGGTCCAAGCACCCTGGAAAAGGGTGGGTGCGGCCTAAGCAGGCCTGGGTGGGAATTTAGGGTTTAGGGTTTAGGATGGGGTTGGGGCCCCCAAATTTCTTGAAGTTTTTCCTCAGATAATCTTTCAGTGCGAATCCGGGACACCTGTTCTGATTTAGGGAAGCCTGCTAATGCTGGATCAGGGCCGGGGCCTGGGATTTTGGAATTCTGATGGAAGCCATTGCTGTCAGGAAGCAGTCTTGGGTGTTTGGAGACAGGGTGAAGGTTTAAGGGTTAAGATTGCGCAGTCAACCCTCAAAAGTCCAAATGGTAGCTTCCCTGAAATGAGAGGACCCCAATTTAGACCCCAAACCCTAAATATGGCAAGGTCCCACAAAAGCCAGACAGAATGTACGGTTTAGGGTTTAGGGTCTAAAAAGATTCTAAGAAAGCCTGCTGAGCCCAACCGAAGAATTTCACTGCCGAATGGATCCTCCGGGGAGGAGTTGTGAGGAGAATTTCTATTCGTGGGAGCACCTGCATGGAGCCTTTAAACTCTAGCGATGCTGTACAAAAGCGGTATGCGCCCGTCCATGCATCCCATACGAATCTTAATCAACTTATGTAAGATGAATATGGGACCCATGAGTGCAAATGCAACATCAAGGCTTCCTACACCCTAAACCCTAAACCTTAAATCCCTGGATCCCCTTTGGGTTTAGCGGCGTAGGCGGAAAGCATTTTCCAGGCGCAAGCGCGCACTTCAAGAGTCTGGGGACCCTCGAGGAGCGCTATTTGATAGGAGAGTCTTGGAGTTTTGTGGAAGTATGGGCCCTTAATATGAGTTGTAAAGTTTTTTTAGGATACAGATGAAGGACCATACTAGGGGCCTACCAAAACAACCTAAGAGCCCAGGTTAAAGGTGTATTTCATCTAGTGGTTGAGGATTCAGGTGAAAATGCCATATAGGTGTGTTACGGGTAATGTTAGATTTTAGGGGCTGGTGGGGAGGTGGTTGAAGCTGCTGGATTCAGCCTTTCGGCCTCAGGGTGTTGAGGCAGGAGTGGAGCTACATAGGAGTTTCCACCAACAGGAGGACCTATTCCCCCAACCTTAACTACAAGGTTCGTGAAAATGATTGTTAATTTCTGTTACCTAGAATCCTAATATTTAGCTGAAATTATAATTTCTACTGGGGTTCCAAATCCCTTAGAGTCAATCCTAAACCCCAAGATTTTGCAATCCGTGGGACCCCAAAACGGCATTCTTAGTCGGTGGAAGGCCCTTACATGAGCACTTCATGTCTCTGGGACCAGAGTACGAAGTCAAGGAGACTTGTCCAAGCCAGGTCTGTTATAGTATATTATAGTATGTTATAGTATATTATGGTATATTATGGTATATCATGGTATATTATGGTTTATTATGGTATATTATGGTATATCATGGTATATTATGGTATATTATGGTATATTATGGTATATCATAGGATATTATGGTATATTACAGGATATTATGGTATTTTACGGTATTCTATGGTATAGTATGGTATAGTATGGGCTCGATTTGGGTTCAGGATTTAGGGTTTTGCAACGTACGTAAGCCATTGTGAGCCAACATGCAGAACCCAACTCATATCAAACAGAACACGAAACGGAAACAGGGTTTATGGGGGTGTACGGGGATATTTCAGGATTTTGGCGCCCAGATATCAGACGCTTCCTGCACCTCCATTTCACTTTTCCGGAATTTTCAAGGGATCTTCCTTGCCTGGCATCCTGGTTGGAAGCGCTTGGTTTGGGGCTTGTGGTTAAGGGTCCAAGATTTAAGATTAAACTTGGTAAGCTAGATCTAGGGACCTCTGGAGAATGCTCCAGTCTCAGCAGCTGTTGAGGGTTGGTCATGGTTCTGCGGTGCCCAAGTGTTGAGATACTCCCATAACTAAAGCCAAGACCCGAAACCCTAGACCCTAAACCGATTTCATGAGCTTTACGGAAGTGGCATACTGCCCGTTGGTCTGAAAAGGGCTTGGAGACCGTGGTTCTCCTAAACCTGAGCCTTAAGTGCAACGTCCCTAGCCCTGAATTCTTTACCCTTAAACCCTAAGCCCCTAAACCTTACACCCGAAACTGGCGAAGGCGCTGCGCAGACAATTCCCGTGCACATTTTCGACCCAATCACGGCAGCGGCTACCTGCGAGGCACTTTGGCATGAGGAGGAGGGGGTTTAGGGTTTGGGGTGTGGGTGTAGTGTTTAGGGTTCAGAGTTTAGGATTAAAGCTTTAGGGTTTTGAGAGTGTAGTTTAAGGTTCAGGGTTCGTCTGAGGCCTAGACTCAAAACCCTGAAAGTATGGCTTAGCGTGTTTGGGGTACATGAAATCTGGCTTAGGCTGCAAGGTGTTCATCAAATTTGGTTTAGGTTTGGGTGCGCATGACAGTTTTCAAGTGTGGTGAGCGTCATGGTTTGCATGTCCTGCTGAGGCTTCCCTATGACAGTCGTACATCGAAACATCCCGCCTTATGTGAGGTGCATGTTGCTGATCATGGGAGCATATGTCAGAGGTATGAGAAGATTGTAGGCATCATGGGATGCTGAAGACCCCTTCTTGCTAGTGGCAGGATTGTTCAGGTTGTATGACCTGTAAATTCTTGGTCCGTGTTTCAGGTTCCTGGAAAGACAAGAAGGTCGTGTGTGTGCGTGTGATCATAGTCCCATTTCTAAGCCCAACCGGGCTGCTCAGACACTATGGCTACTTGGCAGTCAGGGTACACAAAACTCAGATATACCAATTTGCAAGCGAACAGAACTTTTTTGCACAAGCCAGTGACTTGTATTGCCATCGGGCCATAATTGTAGTTGCTAATCAGTTATGCGCACCTTAGACCTGCGGTGAATCACATCAAATTGAGCCAGCTGCATGGAAGGACTTGCTTGTCCTTGGTAGGGAATAAGAGAAGATAGTCCTTATATAATCCCGACATAATGTATTCCCATAATATCCGAGAATATCCTTTGATATACCATAATATACCATAATATCCTATAATATACTATTCCCTTATTACCTGCTAAGACGCAGTAAGATGAGGGACTCACCCTCTGCAGGTAGTGCTCTCCTGGTTGACGTCGAAAGAGAACACAGTGGATGCCCCGCAGCTGGGTGGCATGAGGCTTGCAGGTCCAACCCTATAATTCTTGCATGTGCTTCCCCTAAACCCTAAACACTAAACCCTAAACCCTAAACCCTAAGCCCTAAACCCTAAACCCTAAACCCCATCCTCGGGTTTTAAGCCTGAGTTGAAAACTTGTAAAGGAGACTACACCACCATGTCTGCTTCGGGCATCTCCTCTGAAAACCAGCCACATGTCAGCTCATCCGTGTGCTGATCTTGTGCTTTGAAATAGCCGTAGCTTCATTAGCACAGAAAATGGATTTTTGCTATCGAAAAACTATTTCAGAATCTCCAACACGGTCTCCCCCGCAAGGGTTTGGAATGAACATCCAGGTGCTAGGTAAGGTTCCCCCGAAAAAGAGCGCGGTGCCTGGAGAACATGAGCCATAGTCTAAACTCCTTAAAGTGGGTTATATACGTGATTATATAGGGGACTACTATAGGGGTTATTAAGAGGGATTCTAGGAGTTTAGATTATAGCCCACATGAGATGCCTACCTACAAAGACTTAGTTAAGACGCGCTTTACGACGTCAGCGGCCGGCAGGAAACTGAGGGTTCCTTTAACAAGGTGGCCGTCAGTTAGGGATCCTAGGATTTAGAGTTTAGGGTTTAGGGTTTAGGGTTTAGGATTTAGGGTTTAGGGTTTAGGATTTAGGGTTTAGGGTATATAGAGATGAAGAGAGGGTTCTGGGGGGTCCTCACTTGGGATTATGTAAGATGATTCGGAGACATACCAAGTCCTAAATGATACAGTAGCTTCCATTTCCTTCCCCCTTCCTCTAGAAGTCCCTAATCCCCACATCCTACACCTTAAGCCCTAACTAAACCCTGAACCTTAAACCCTAAACCTTAAACCCCAAACCATAAATCTTAAACCCTGAGCCCTAAAGGGGAGTTCAAGTACCAAGGTCCAAGACCTCCGGCATGCCCCCCACTGCGAGAGAAGCAGCTAAGCGGTATTGGGGCAAGGGCTTAGGGTTTGGGGTTTAGGGTTTAGGATTCGGGTTCAGGGTTAATGGTTGGGGTTTAGGGTTTGGGGTTGAGGGTTTAGGGTTTAGGGTTTGGGGTTGAGGTTTAGAGTTTGGGGTGTAGGGTTGAGGTTTAGGGTTTTCAAAGTATCACCAGGCTATAACCTGTTTTCCCCTAGTTGCTATCCTAGATAACTCTAGTGTTTTTTCGTGTGCATGCTCAGGTTTAGAGTTTAGAGGAATCTGCTCGCAAGGAATATATGGGTTCAGGCCGAGGATGAGTGCAGCTGGAACACCTGAAGTTGTTTTGCAGTTTATTACGAGAGCATTTTGGGTACGGCTGGAGTTCGTGGATGGGGTATTTACCGACATCAAGGTCCTCTCTTTCAACAGGTAATAAAGATTCCATGTACCTTGGGAGCCTATTAGTGCTGATTTGTTTGGCGCAGGGTCTGGGTCACTTTGCAGGCTCTCTTCTTGTGCTGAGTTTGGCTTGCTTACGTCGCGACGATTGCAATCCTGTTTCCGCGTTCAATGTTGCCGTTGCTGCCTCCTTCTTTTCTCCCAAAAACCCTAAACCTTGACCCGAAACCCTAAACCCCAAATCCTAAATTCTAAGGCCTAACTCCTGATTCTTAAACCTAAATCCGAAACCCTAAATCCGAAACCCTAAACCCAGAGCTTACTTATGTTCCTCCTCAGGCACCTTGAATGCTGCAATATCTTCATCCCTAAACCCTAAACCCTAAGCCTCTGAGTCCATGAGATGATACAGCTTTCTCCATGGAACTGCGGAGTTATATGGGGGTTATATACTAGCAGCTATATATCATAGCGGTTATATTGCAGGTGCATAGGGGCTAAAGGGCGTATGTAGGGGTATATATGGAAAAATTGGATGGAAACTACTATAAGATTTGGGGGTTTAGGGGGTTTAGGGTCTAGGGTCATATAGGGGTCTTTCCCGAAAAAAATTGCCATCAGATGAAAAAAAACACAGAAAATGAAACGGAACCTTTGGTAACAGGGTTGATCGTAAACATCCCTGTCTATTCTCAACATAACATCCATCAGACTGGGGCCGATTGTGCAAGTTGCCGGCTGAAGCCCGCCCCTACGCTTGAGCTTCACTTGGAGTGTGCTAGCAGAACCAACCCCTTAAGCCCTAAACTTAACATCTAAACCTCGTGATAATCACGCCTTTCTGGATCCTGGCGAGACGGACAAGAGGGGTTGAAAAAAAACATCAAGCCCTTAATCTCATAGTAGAGTGCATTTGATTTTCCAGTCCCATATGTACCCGAACATCACCCCCATATAACCCACCCCGCAAAGTCCCAGACCCCGAGGAGCCTTCTCCCACGACTTAGAGTATGGATGAGTCGGATGACCCAGCAACTGAAGCACTGGTAAAAGCACTTTACTGGGATCCCCAAACAGGGGAACACCAAGAACATAGTAGGAATAAAATCGAAATGTACCTACCGGGTCCTTATCGTCTATTATATTCCTACTATATTCTTGGGATTCCCTGTTTGGGGTTCCCAGTAGAACCTTTTTAACTAGCATGCCTTCAGCTAACCCATTGTACATCAGCCCGACACCTCAACCTCAATCCTGGAACCTGTCTACACCTCAGTTTACCCATTGGTTGGATACTGCCCCACCCAGTAACAGTGGAATGAGAGTTCTAGTACAATTACACCCTAAACCTTGAACCCTATATATAGAGCCCTCACTATTATCCCTATCATAGAGTGTGGCTGGGTGGGGGCAGTCTCCTTTATGACCGCGATCCTCTCACCGCACAATTGCTGTGTCAAGGTTAGGGCATTGAGGCCCAACGCTGCGGAGTCTTTGGGACTGAAAGTTGATGCACGGCTGTTCGTGTGGTCAGATATTGGTTAGGACTTCAGTATGTTAGGCTTTAGAGGTACATGCCTGCTACTGTGCTATGCCCTGTAGTTTAGCTGTTGTGCTGCACATAACGCTTCGTGCAGGAGCTCAAGTGGGTTTTTAGTTTGGGGGCTTAGGACTGACATGCCCGCTCAGCACGCGAAGTCACTCACACAAACAAGTGGGAGCTTTCTCAATGGGTAAGTCACAAAGACAAGCTAGGTGTGTTGGATCTGCAGTTTCTAATTTGGACTCCGCAGGATTCAGGCATGTATCGTGCGTTTTCGAACGAATTTCTCATAGGAAAACATCATCCCGACACTGGACCTTAAACACAGCTCACCAATAGTTGCCGTGTGTTGCCCTGCATCCAGCAAGAAAAGATGTCTAGGAGCTATTTTGGGCTTCCAGTGTTGTAGGCAGATACCAACCTTCCCATCCACCCTCTCCATCCCACCAGCCCCTTCGACATGGTACTAATATTGCTATGATTACAATTCTTCATATTCTTAATTTCCATTTATCTTTTTACTATTATTACTGGTATTACATGTATTACTATTATGGCTGCTATTACTGTTGTTACTGTTATTTCCATTTTTCTTGTTATGTCTCAGGTTTTTCCCTGCTTCGAAGAAGTTGGCAGCCCTCGTGGAGGAGGACAGCAGAGCTCACCCAAGTAATCGCAGGAAAAGCGGTTTATGGTTTAGGGTTTAGGCAACAACGATCACGACAACGACGACACCAAAATACTTGTAACAACAACTACAGCTGCAGCCCCAACTAGAAATCCAACGACGACGGTGACGACCAGGACACAAATACAACAGCAACATCCAGCAGTAGTGACGATAGCAAGAAACTTGTACGCTGCTAAATCGCTCTTCCTGGCTGGTGCTGTACACTCGAGTTGTTTCCACGACGCGGTTTAGGGTTTAGGGTTTAAGGTTTTGGATTTTCCGATAATGAGGATTCGAAAAGTTGGATGAGCACGCATGTAGAGCATGCCTCAAAACAGGGATTTTTGTACATGAGTTGAGGGACAGCTCCAAAAGTGTTATGATTCTGAGTCCTGCGACGGTGTTCTGCCCCACATCCTAAACCGGAAACTTGCAGAAGCCCTCAACCGCGTGACCGGTTTAAAGCCCTACACCCTACTTAGAATGTCCTCATACTTTCTTCTAGGCCTTGGGCCGATGTCCCCAACAGGTGTAAGGTTGCAGCCATGTCAACATACTTGCTACCTAAAGAAGTTCCAACTAGAATGATAATGGTAATAATAATGGTAATAGCAGCAATAAAAAACAGTTGTAATAGGAATAGCAATTAAGAGAATAATAGTAGCAATGATAGTAGTAGTAATGACACTGAGGATCTCACCTCAACTCTAGGGAGCCCAGCTCTCAAAGCCCATCTTCGGCAGAGCAGAAGAAATTCTCAATAAGATGTTACCCCAATATAATTCAGATATTACCCCTAATATAACCCTAACATTACCCTATGAGAACCCTAATAGTACCCGATTATAACCCTAATATTACCCCAATAAAAAAAGTGTCAGGTCTGCAGCGCTGGGTCCCATGAAGTCCTTGTGAATCCCTAGTGATCATTGTATTGGGTTGAGGGTTTAGGGCTTTCAACAACATGCCTCCACCGCCTTCATTATACTTTCACCCTAATATAACCCTAATAGAACCCGAATATTTCCCTAGTATAACAGACCCCAATATTGCCCCAATATAATTCCGAGATTTTTCTAATATTGCCTTAATATACACCGAACATTACCCCAACGGGCCGTATTCTAATTTAGCAGGCCGCCCTCAACACCTAAACCCAAAACCCTAAACCCTCAGAAAGCAGGGTGCAGTGAGTCTCCGCCAGGAAGGCGAGGATGAGGAGGACGATGAAGCGACCTGTCTGAAAATGATTTAGGGTTAGGGTTTAGGGTTTAGGGTTTTGTTGTTCCATCATTTCATGAAAAGCGTCTTGGATGATTGTGTAAGCCAAATTGGGAGAATCCTTCTTCCGTGGCATCAAAATCGAATTTTGCCTTCTGCATTGAGGTATTGATCCTCTATAGCCGTAATAATGGTAACTATGGTAATAGTAATAGTAACAATAATAGGAATATAGCATTTGTAAACGGGGAAAGGGTTCCTCAAGCCTCCCTGACCCCTGTGCAGCTCGTTCACAGAATCCGGTTTCATGTGTCGCCACATGATTGAGACGACTGAAGTACCCCTTATCACGCTTGTGAAGATATACTATGTTGCTACAGTACTGTCACTCTGTTTATAGAAGCCTACCGAACACAACTCCCTAAACTCTAACGTCAGGAACCCCGACCGCGTGCCGGATGCTCGCTGATGTGCGGAATCAGCGTCGCCATTCTGTTGGCTCTGCGCCTGGCCTCAAGAATTACACGAAGTAGTATTGTCTCTCCTGTTATTGGCATTCTTACGAGCAGAAGTATCATTGCAACTGCATTCGATTCCACTCCAATTATTGTTATCTTGAAAACCATAAGCCCCGCACCCCGCCCCCCAAACAGCAGGAAGAAGGCGGGACAAAATGAAAACTGGAACCCCGAGCCCTAAACCACCACGACGCCCCAAACCCTAAACCCCAAGCCCCAAACCCCCCAAAAAACAAACCCTAAACCCTAAACCCAAGCCCTAAACCCTCACCCCAGGCTCTGCCACGCTGTCCAATTCGGGCAGCCGCGGGCACAACCTGTGGCGCAGCGCAATGGCTGCAGCAAGCATTAGATGCCTTCTAAAGGTTTGAGGTTTAGGATTTCGTTTTGCAAAAAGGATCCTTTTGTGTGTGTGTGTGTGTTTTTTCTTCTTTTTTTTGGGCATTGTAGAGGCACCCATTAAGCACCAGCAAAGTGGACAGTCGCCTGCAGCGGATATCTCTTCAGGTTCCAGGGTTAGTCCCTAAACCCTTCAGCAGAAATCTTCAATCCTAAACTCCAAACCCTTAACCTTGAAGCTGAAGCCCAAAACCAGAAAACCTTCAACCTTAAACTCTCCCTAAACCCTAAACTCTAAACCCTAGCCTTGTGCTTATTAAAGGCCAGGTCTGTGCGAGTTGTTTGACCCCTATCCATGCCGCGGACAGGCAAGAAACAACATGGGGGCCCTGCACAATACACCCTCATGGCTCTACTGGCTTTAGGGTCTAGGGTTTAGTGGTTGATTTGGGTCTAAGTCTGGTCGGTTTGGTTTCGGTGCCCTAGACCTTAAATCCTAGTCCTAAACCTTAAACCCTGAACCCTAGACCTTGAACCCTAACCTGTTGGCGCTGGGTAGAGTGCAGAGAGGCAGGACGTAAGATTCGCATCACGGAGACTTGGTTGGCTTGACAAAAAATCTCCCAGGACCACATCCAGTCGCTCACCCCAATCTAAGGCCACCCAGTCTCCTTTTCGCTTCAACGAAGTCCTTTGAAATTTGCCGTTCATCTCTGTAGACAAGCACCCGGATGGCTCGAGGGGCACCTAGAAAACCGTGTTTTGGCCCATACCCAGGGAGGCCAATTCCTCTTAATTAAAGAAATATAGCTTAAATCATAGTAGGGACCCTTATATAAGTTAGGCCATATTCCTTCCCTAAACCCTAAGCCCTACACCCTAAAACAATCAAGGGGTAATAGGCTCTCTGGGTGTCTGGGATGGTTGCTACGTTGGTGGCTTCGCCAAGGACGCCAACAAGTTTCTTCCAGACAGCACAGCTGAGGATTTCTGAATATTGATTTCTTGTGTATGGGTTGGCGCCCGGACAACTCTCCATTAGTATGAATAGTAGTAATAATAGTAATAGTAATAGTAATAGTAATAGTAATCATAATAGTAATAGTAATAGTAATAGTAATCATAATAGTCGTAATACTCATTAGTATTAGTATCTAGTTGCTTTCGGGGGATGATGCGCGCGAGATAGAGCCGATGCATCTTTGAGACGTCACGGTCTGACATACTACATGGGTAGTTCTCCAAATTATGGGCCTGTTTTGGTCATAAAATGTATTGTGGCACCTAATACTTAGGGGTACCAAAATGGGATCCTAATTTCGGGAACTACCCACGTCCTGAGCCCTGAGCTGTCGACCTGTACCCTTCGTCCCAACGACCGCGTGGATGGAGCTAGGGGTCATCTACTCCGGGTTGATCTCTGCTTCGTAAGCATCGTTTTCTTCCCAACCGTTGCTCTTGCCATCGCATTGTCATGGATAGTATATGGTAGTTTTCCAAAATAAGGGGCCCTTATGTAGCCCCCAAAATATTCTTTTCCCTGTTATGGGGAACACCCCACAATTTTTTACCCCTAATTTTGGCAAACCTCCTTATCTATCCGTCACTTACTATCACTTGCCGCTGCTCCTATAAGATTCTTGTTATTGCTCTTTTTTGTGATTATTATTTCCATTCTGATCATTGACATTCTATTGCTGTCCCATAAGATTAGTTCATTAATACATCAGTGAGGAGACTGTCCGTGGAGTTTGCCCATGCCACCCATGGGAGAGAGCTGCCCAGTAGGGCCTTTTTGTGTAGCGGCCGATGTGGCTGTGTGTCTTCCCATGGAAAGCCTGTTTCAACAGAGTGGTTCATGTTTCTGGTTGGTAAATGATAAGCGTTCCAGTCTCAGTAAGGACCCTAAACCCTAAACCCTAAACGCAGATTTCTTCAGGCCCCTTAGCTTTGCTGCTTAGAAGTGTATCTCGCTTAGTTTTGAAAGGGACTGTTTCAGCAGGTTTGATGTACAGATCCAGCGAGCCAAGATACGCGGAGTTGTCAGGATTCAGGTTTCCATATCAGCTCCAAAGGAGAAGGATTACTTAGCCCTTTCAAGAAGATGGTAAACCCTAAGCACTCAAGCCACAAACCCTGTAAAGCCTGAGTCCTTTACACGCTTACACCTATAAACCCTAGGCCACAGATGGTACTACTCCAGCTGAAACCTTGAACCTTAAGCACAGGAGGCTAATGAATCTGACAACGATCGCAGCGCCCTGGTCATTGTCATCCTTACCTTGTTTTGTTTCCGGTTCCTGCGCCCAAAGGCGTTGGGGTGGGGGTTGCCTCCCTTCCTCAGCGCCTAGGGGCCCCAGGACGCAACATTTGAAGTCGCAGGGCCATTGCCGGATCTGCAATGCCGGTTATAAACCCTCCTCCACAAGGAGACCCGAAGTTTTGAACCCCCCCCCCATCTCAAAATGACAGCAGCATTGACGGGAAAGACGATCTTCTTCAACAGCTCTCATCCAAAAAGCATCGACCATGCTTTAGAACAGTCTCTGTATGCAACCCATCAGGGTCCTCTAACCTTGATTGTCAATTAAGCATGGGTAAGTAAAGTCCTGGGCAGATCCTGTTTTGCCTGCGCTTGCCTTCGCATCATGTGGGCGTGACTTAGAATTCCGTGCTTCTTTTCAAAGGCCCCGGTAAGCAACGTTCTTCCCAAATCAGGGAATAACAGGGAGGAAGCCCTAAAACCTGAACCCTAAATCCTACGCCCTAAGCCTAAACCCTAAAACCTGACTTTTGTGTCACACCCACTCAACGGCTGTACAGCGTTCACCTGTGCTTCCACAATACGATGCTGGATGTGTCGAGCCTCACCTGAGTAGTATTTTATTT